TCTTTTTATAATTTCTAAAGTTCTGGGGTGTTTTGTGCAAAATGCCAACCCCCAAAATTTTAGGTTTGGTGATATATATCCTTTCTTATAAGTATTTATGGTATTTTACACAGAGAACTCTCTTCATTATTGCTCAACTGGTTTACGTTTTCTATTGATGATAGATACCTGTCAAGCCCTCTTCCCTTAATGTGACTTTTGAAGAAACAATCTTTCGCTCGCGTTATTTTTCTCCTGTACCTTTGTATGTATAATTTTGTTGTCACTAGTTATGTATTTTGAGAGTGTGCTTTATGATTTATCAGAACAAATGTAAGCGCTGGTGCTGCACGTCCAAACCCTCAAGGATCTTTCCACTATGGTTCAATAAACGTGACACAGGTGTATGAGCTTAGAAATATGCCTCCCGTAATCATTAATGGAAAGCATCGAACTACGCTAAATGGAATCTCATATTCTCCTCCCGATACACCTCTAATCCTTGCTGATGAGTATGATAAGAAAGGAGTTTATATGCTTGATTTCCCGAGTAGGCCAATGAAGGGTGCACCTCGAATTGGAAGATCTGTGATTAATGGTACATACCGTGGTTTCATGGAAATAATATTCCAGAACAATGGTACCATAGTTCAGACTTACCATATGGATGGATATGCATTTTTTGTTGCTGGGTACGGGCGATATCTTTGTTTTTTCTCTTAAAGTAACAGGATAATTTGTAGGCATCGTCTTTATGCTGCTCTATTAATGGAGTTCGCTAAATACAGGATGGATTATGGGGAGTGGACTGAGGAAAGCAGAGGCACATATAATAAATGGGATGGTGTTGCTCGCTGCACAATACAGGTGAATGCCACCAAAATTTATTTTGAAATTTTTACAGCTGTTTTTTTACATTGTTTCTTCACCATTAAGTTTAGCTTTCTTTTGCAAAATGTTGGGTTCTCTTTCGACTATAATTGGTCATTCACCCTTTCCTTGAAGACACGTATGAATTATTATCAGCCATCTCACAAGTTTTCACTGAGGTTACTACGTGCAGTGCCTGCTTCTCGTATTTGGTTGCCCTACAGTTTTTATACGATTGCTTTCTTATGTTTCTGAAGTAAAGAACATTAAAGATTCATTCTAATCTCTATTTGGTGAGAGTTTAAGGAACAACTGCTTTGTACCCTACGACAATATTGATGATGACAACAACGTCAACAACAAAAACATGGAACAATACACAACAAGATCATGGTGAATTCTAACAGAATTATGCAGGCAGGGATATGCATGCATGTTGAGCGCGGCTTCAAGATAGAAGCCTGCGTGCTACCCGCCACAATAGTAGGGATTAAACCCCGTTAGGAAATAGGTGTCTGCATTAACAATTGATGAGTCCACATATGCATTATTTTTCACGCTAAAATTCTAGGGAGGTGATGCGTATGTTTACTTTAGAGGAGGAGGATGTCTTCCCTTAACCTTCTTCTATACGCCGCTCCCTCTCATGCTGTGGCTCTTGTTGCTGTCCTCACATCCCAACACTGAATGTGAGCAGATGAACAAGGAGATTTCCCTCATATTTAATTAGTTGTTGAATGCTTTCTGATGTTTTCCTAAGGGCATGCCTCACCCTAGCTCAAAGCAGATAGCGGTATCTCCATAATTAATTTTTTTTTTTTTTTTTACAAACATCGATAACAGTAACTCCTACATGCAGTAGATTTGTTTGAATCTTGTGTACGTTCTAGGTTTACCCAGGAGCATGGACAGCCGTCTTTGCGTCACTCGATAATGTTGGATTCTGGAATGTTCGTACAGAAAATTTGGACGCATGGTATCTTGGACAGGAAACATATTTAAGGGTGGTTAATCCAGAGGCTAATGAGAAATCGGAGATGCCTGCTCCAGATAATGCGCTCTACTGCGGCCTTCTCAAGGATAAGCAAAAGTATGTTACTGATACTCTAATCTCATTATCCAATAATAGATGAGGGCTCCCCCCGCAACTAAATTCAAATATTAAAAACGTTGGGGGGACTGATTCAAATATTAAAAACGTTGGGGGAAATTAATTTCAAATATGAAAAATCTGAGGGACTGCAATGGAAAAAAGCCCGTATCATACATATTAGTTGCATGTTCCTCCCTCTTTTGGCAGGAAATATTAAATATAAAGTTGTTTCGGTTTTTTGATGTAATATATAGAAGGGTGATGTTACGTTATACGCTCTTCTCTCTTGCTGACACCCGTTTATTTTGTTCTTTTTTAGGGCGCAAAAGCCTCATTCAAAGAACGGTTCTTCGTCTTCTCCAATTTTGCGTGTGAGATCAGAGTTGATACTGTCTGTTCTGCTTTTGGTTACGCTAGCTTGCCATTTTCCAGTAACTAGATTTTGAAGACAATTTGAGATTATTTGTGGATTTTTGAGGAACGTTGGCTGAATTAGTCTGGGTTCAATTTGTAAGAATTGTTAGTTTGTTAAGGCCCTTGCGGTTTATTATCAGTTTGCTTATGTTTTTACATCTTTTTAGATTATTTCCCCTTGTTTTTTGCTGTTATCGGCTAAATTCTTTCTTTCATTCTTTTCTTTTCCTTTTTTTTGTCTCTAGAACATTTAAGTTCTGAAATTAGGGAATTTAAGCAATGGTATGATCTTATAATAGTTTCTTTTTCTTGACATGTCATATATGTTAAAGGGATGTTTGATTCACCCTTTTTTGAGAAAATTAATGCGAAGTCCTCTGACAATGACAATTTGGTAATTAAAAGATTTCTTTCGGTTTCCTATTATAATTTGATGAGGCCACAATGACTCATCACTTTTTTGCAACTTTTAAGAAAGGACCTCTTTTTTTTGTTTCTTATGGTGCGAAAGTAATAGCAAAATTATAGTACACTTATCTTTTTTCTATTCTGAACCATGAGGAAAGCACAAACAAAAGGCTTGTTGGGTATATTGAGTATGGTGTTTGTATTCTGGAAAACAGCATTTTGTCAGCGTCAAAATCTTATTTCGAAAATTTTTTTGTTTCTCCAATCGCTGTCGGATCCTGCCAAAGTCATATACTCTGCCGGTCTGCCCTATAAATTTGCTGAAAAAAGAAGCAGAGAGACATAATTTCTTGCCCAACTATCCGACTTTATACCTTCTGTTCAACTTTCTAATGGAACAAATGAAGACAAAAAATGGTACGTCAGCCCAACGGGCCTTGCTAACTCTTGCTGCCTGTTGTTAAATAGTCTTACAAAAATCCAAGAATTAGAATTATACATCCTCAAAACTATCGAACTTATGTATAACTTCAGTTTCTTAAATGCTCGTCTAAGGTTGGAGAAAGTATTATATACATAGGCTGGAAAAAAAAATATGGGAAGCAAAGTGTAGATATTTTGCGAAAAATCCCATATTATGCGTACAATTAACGTCAAATTATTGTGTAAATTTTGGGCATTTGGCAAGAGGTTCTAGCAAAAATTAGCTCTTGTTGTTAAATAGTCTAAATAACAAACAAAACCTCATTCAAATACTCACAAGGATTCATCTCTCCAAAGCTCATACAAGTTAACAAAACCTCCTCTTCTTAATTTGCAGCAAAGTATGGCAAATGAGCTCACTTAGGGGCTATTTGGTTAAATTTCTGTATTATAAAAAAAAGAAAAGGAAAAGTACTCAAATATTAAATTTAAAAACTGCAGGAGAAGTTTATAGAAATTTAAAATGTGGTGTTTTCTTATTATTATTTTTACCTTTCCTTTGTTTGGTTCAAAGTACGAAAAAGAGGAAAAGTCAACTTTAAAGAAAATGAGTTGAGAAGTGAAAATGGATAAGTTTGTACAAAAATTATTATTTAAATAAATGCGCTAGATTTCTGGGCAATTTCTGCCCATATTGAAAGGAAATTAATTTCTATAAAACAACATACTTTATTCAACTTTATAGAAAACATTTCTATAACGTTTTTGTGATCCAAACATAGTTTTATTGTAATGTCTAAGTAGTAGGAAAAACGTAGTACACTAACTACTCTTTCAGATTATTTATTATTTCATTCTTTTAGCGCCAAAAAAAATTTAAAAAAATTAACAATAACAAAAATATTTCTGTACATTGAATCCACGGGGCAACTGTTCAAATTAAATATAAAATATTTCTGACGTAAAACCTCTTCCAAATTCTGTACATTGAAGTTGATCAAAATCTGAACCCAAACCAAAACTCTCAACCTATTCATCTCTCCCCCATTATCCTTTCTCATCGTCCATTTATAACAATAACAACAGCGAACCAATGTTTGTACCAATTTACTTAACAGAGGATGCGTGAAATTACTTATTTCAGTAGCGTTTGAGGATTGCACGATTCATTGCAGACTACTTTGAGAGCCAATAAATGATCAAGAACAATGTGCAGGCCGCAATCACCGCAGCAAGGATGAGAGTATCCCTTGAACGCTTCCTCCTAATGGCACCTTCAATTATTATAGGCGTAAGAAGCAATTACAAAAATAAAAGACAAATCAATGTAAGACTTTGTAGAAGATGAAAGATGAGATACCGATGAGGCCTCGTATTATGGGAAATTTTTCGCCTAGATGTTTGACTTTCCCCTGAACATCGCCAAACAAAGCCCTTTGTGCTCCTAGCACCGATCTTGTAGCTTGAGCCTGGCCTATCACCTCATCAATCTGGATGCAAGCAATTTGTTTGGATAATTTAGTGCTTGTTGAATCAATAAATCCAGGGAATTCAACTCAACAGCTAGTACTTATGTGATTACAATTAGATGAGATTGTCTTGACGCAGTTTAATGTTTGTAATCAAGAAAAAGGAAAAAAATGTTAGTTACAGATACACCCCTTGTACTATGAGGGTGTAGCTACCTATACCTCCTACACTATTTTATTTATAATAATACCATGAATTCCATACGGTATTATTTCTCCCACGACATTATTTCTCCCTTATAGTTGAGATATCACAATAATGATGATGTGACAATAAGTTATATTTTTTACTTCCCATCATAGTACTCTAGATGGTTTACCCTCCTGTAATGTCAAGATTCTTTACTAGCAGTGCCTAAAACAACTGGTCCTTGGAATTCTTTTGGACCCAATGAATATATACAAAACTCTAATATTTGCAACACTCTCATACCTACTATGACTTTATTTGATAATATACATTTTAATAGCGATAAATTCAAGGCACACTTAGTTACAAATGACATAATTCAATTTCAGCCTTTTCAAGTAGCCAAGACTGACATCTTGGGTTAAACATAACTGGGAGTTATCAAAGGAATATGTCAGCATATGTGTGAGCTAGCAAAACTTGGGTGGACATGAACCCATGTTTCTGTGTGTTTGTGCACACATCACAAGCATATACGACGCAGTGGGACAATTGTATTCCAGAATCCTTCTTTTCGACATATAGCTAGAATCTCATACCCCCCCCCCCCTACTGCTCCACATACCAATTGACATGCATTTACTCATACTATATAATCGCATTTGAAAAGAAGTGAACATATCATGACATAAGTTTACTATCCAATTAGCTGATGAATCATCTCTTCAGTTGCAAACATGTGTGACCGTGAAAATTGCCGCAAAGTCTAGCTCAACATGTTACAAAAAGAAATAACCCCGACAGACAAAAGATCCATCTGAAACTCTGAAACAATCAAATAAACCAAAAGGCATACTCCATTCAGATGAAATCCCAAGAAATGCATTTTAAAACTACTAAGTTTGTGTATAATGCCATGATCATCTGGCTTTAAATAAGGACGTAAGTCATTTCTCAGGCATGCTGAGGATTCATGATTCTATATCCGTCAAGCGATTAACCGACGTTTAGATGTTAATAAACTTTCTCGTGCAAAATGGATTACTGTGAATTATCATATAAATCTGCAAAGATGAGATCCTTACATGGCTTATGCTACCATGAACTGAAGCTCTCTCTCGCAATAACTGCACTGCAGGTGACAAACTTCCGGATGCCTGTAAAAAATAGTCAATGACGACCAATTATCGCAATAATCAAGTACTAATATTGGGTAAGCACACCAGTCTCACCTTTGATTCACTGATATCATCTCGAACAGAGGTAAGAAGTTCAGCATGCTCTCTCATGGAGTTCAAGTTCCCTTTCGTTCGTCTAAACTCCTATATTATACCAATTAGCATGAGTTGAAATTGCACAAGGATTTGCTATTTGAAATGAATATAACAACCGTTTGAGAAAAACAACATGCAAAGATAAACATGTGGTAAATGATGTATGCAGTATACGAGAAGCAAGATAAGAGAAAATTAAAAGAACATATAATTGGTCATCCAGATGAAAGACAACTCCAGCAACTAAAGAAAATAATAGTAACATAAAGAAAACAGAATGTGATTAATCCAAATATATAAATTAAAAGAAGGATGGTACAATTCAGAGAGATGGACAAAAAAAATTAACCACAACCATATTGCTACTTAGGACAATGAGACCAAAAATGATGTTACTCATAGAACTCAAGATAGGCTGGAAGCTTTGACAGGTAAATTAATGAATTACTACGTAACATAGAACACACATGAGATTGAAGGGAAACCATTATTAAGATATAAGATCACCCATGCTTGACCTGTCAGAATGTTGGACAATTGAGAAATAACTTCTATTGTTTTGTTCTAATAAAGAATCGACGTTACAAAATGTGCACCTTGAGTAATAATACTAAGATGGCATTGGTGGAGTATGCAACAAGATGGATAAAAATGAGTGAATTATTAAATCTGCCAACATGGTTTCAAATGAGGACGACATCAAATAAGGACAAAGTGATGCAGGACAAATTCAGATCTAAATTTGGAAAAAGATTTTATGAAAATTGCATCTGATTTGGTTCAATTACAATTAGATAAATTAGCTATGGTTATACTTGATTTTATCTTTTCATTTACTTAGGATTTTATAAGATTATCTTCTTTTAGCTAGGATGTTATTGACGTTATCTCTTTTGAGTTAGGACTTTTTATCTTCTTAGTTTTCCTATAAATAAATATGTGCTTTTCATTTAAGGAGAGGAGAGAAGCATGTTTGTGAGAAACTCTACATCTGAATTGTAGATAGTATTATGGTATTAGATATGTAGATTGCCAGCATGTGAGGTGCTCGAGTGTGTAGCCCATCATTTTGTATCTTTTCTTTATTAAATGAGGAATGCCATTTCAGTTATTTATTTTCATTTTATTTTATCAAAATAATCATCTCCAATTGATCCCTACCATCTGTTCCTCATCATTCGGCATCAGAGCTGAAGATATCCACTATTGCAGCTTCGACATCGGCAATACAACAACTTAAAGTGTATCAATACAATCTAACTCTAAACTCAAGAGCGAGTTTCTTTAAGAGGGGGAAATTTGATGCAAAACAGATGCAGATCTAAATCTGGAAGAAGATAAAGATTATATATGATTTGGTTTAATTAGGATTAGATAAATTAGTTTTGATTTTACTTAATTTTATCTTTTTATTTGGTTAGGATCTTATGTGATGATATCTTTTTTTAGTACGGATGTATTTGATGTTCTCTCTTTTGAGTTAGGATTATTTTTGTCTTCTTAAGTTTTCAATAAAAAAGCTTTTGTTTTTTATTTGAGGGGAGAGAAGAATGTTTGTGAGAAATCATGTATGTGAATTACAGCTAGTATTAAGTATGTAAATTGCTGGCATGTGAAGAGCTCTGATATGAAACCCATCATTTATATATATATTTTTTTTATATGAGGAATGCAACAATTATTTTTATTTTATTTTATTTTATCCGAATAGCCACCCTCAATAGATCTCCATCGTCCGTTTCTCATCGACAAGGTTTGGAAAAATCTTTGAATTGGTTTGTGAGCATTCGCGATGAGACAATGATAAGAGAGAATGATAATCATAGTTGATAGATCTAACAAGGCCTAGCACTAAACCCACTATTATCTAATTAACTGCAACACAAAAACATAATCCAGTTCATGCATACTAATCCAGGGTGGCTTCTTGAACCAAATTACCTAACCTGACAACCCAAGAAATAAAAAATAAAGTAATAACAACTTGATTCAATGAGCTTTTTTATTTTGTTTAGTGTCGGTTTTAACCCTTTCCTTAACAAACTTAATCTGTAACATCAAATTTTAAATTGAAGCTTGAATTTTTACTGTCTAATACAATTAGAATCGTGATCATGTCTTTCAAAAATAGTATGCTCTCTATTCTTTTAGGAAAGGTAAAACTTTCTATATCATATCCGATGGGATCAAGATTAGGATTTGGTTTAACTTAGATTTAAATTTTAATTAGTATTTGATTTGAACTTTAATTCTAACTGGATTAGAACTTGCTCTTGATTTGAATTCTAGTAGAATTAAGTCAGTATCAGTTAGAATTTTAGTAGAGATAGGATTTTAAATTTTCATTGTATTCCAAGTCTATGAGATGTGAATAAAGAAAATTAGTTTGGGAAAAATTATGGAGTGACTCCTCAAAGACGTGAAACCATAATTTTTCATTAGGCGTCCGCGTGCAAAACCAGGCTTTTCCTTATTTTATTTTTTTCAAGTGATCTCCCTCAAATCAAATCTCAACGATACATCTATATTTACACAAATCCTCAGCAGATCTCAACCCTACACCTAAATTCTCAAATCTTCTACGTCATCTCAAAGTCCAAAATATTCATGTGATAAACAATCGCTTCTTTTCTCTGTTTCGCACAAAAGACCCTTTATTGATTTTCTTTTGCAAGTAGATCATGGAAAAACAAAACTCTACAACTTCACCTTCATCTCTTCTATTCGTAACAAAATAGAGGATCCAAAACCCCCTGCTACTTCCATTTCGTCTCCTTCAATTTGCAAACTAGAGCACCTATAGTACCATTGATCGAACTTCTGCTCAAGTTCACAAGCAAGCACAAGTAAGCTTTCTTGATTAAAGCCCTAGCCTGTTGCCTTTGTCTACCTCACAAATTTAACAAAGATACATGATATTGCAATTCAAAATCAACACAGAGGCTCATCAAAAGTTAATGAATTAATGTTTGTGCTCAGTAATGAATCCGAAACTAAAAATCTTTTGAAAGTTTAATTCTTACTTATTTAATTCAAGAAGTCATTGCTCTTTACAGCTTTACAATTTGTGCAAGAATTCATTTCTTGCCTTTGGTTTATTCAAAAATTACCTTTTTATCATTAGTTTAGTTTATTTATTGTTGATTTATATGTCATATTATTTATAGTTATATTCCATTTTTCTTCATTGTTAATTTTGTTTGCATTGCATCGTGTTTATTAGATCATTTGTTTAGAAAAGCCCTATAGATTTAACCTACGTCAGGTTTGGTAGCAGACCATAAGTTTAGCTAGTAATCTAATTAAAAAAAAGTTTGTTCGCGAATGCAATAACATAATGGTATAATCTAATAGATTCTATGTGCCCCCATTTATGAGGGATGAATCAAATTCACCCTTCAGAGCTAGAAAATCTCCATCAAGTGATAGAATGAAGAATTTTCCTAAGTCATTGCACATAAAGTTTCCTACAGATTTCACTTACCAACCAAAGAAGTGCTAGAAAAGAAACTTGAAATGTTTGGGTCATTAGGTTCTTCAAGAACACAAGTCTTCACTTGGAGTTGCTCAAGTTGTCTTTTGTTGTCAAACTTCTGCAATTGCTGCTAATGAGTGAATGAAGAAGAGGAATTTATTTGAGAAAGAAAATGTCTATTTTGAATTGATCGAAGGATTTTAAGAAGATAATGCAAAGTACGTCGGCTGTTAAATATGCATCTTTGAATCTGAAATCATGTCTTAGAAGACTAAAAAGGGAAAAGAAAAGGGATAAACACAAAGCTATGGATTTGAATTCTCAATGGACCAAAATGTAGATTTTAAAAAAGATTTGGAATAGCTACCCCCCTCTTTTCTCCTTCCATGCATGCATTGATACATATATAAAACATCCATACATGCAAGTATTCACGCATATATACATACAAATTTCTCCCAAAATTAGCAAGAACTGATCTTGGATTGCTGACACTGAAAGATCAATTTATACGTATGATATCTACAACAAAATGCTCTAACATCAAATTGAGTTTGAGCTTTCTACAATGTTTAGGATATAGTAGAAAGACCTTTCCCAAGAATGACCAACTAATCATCTATTCCAAAAATTTTACAACAAACTACCTACATTTTACCTTATGCTCAATCTAAACTCAAATGTCGAAACATAACCTAAAATCAATCATATACAGAACTGCTCAATAAGCTTCCAAGTACGTATCACTGTACTCATGTGGCATATGTTTAATAACCAATTATCACCAATCTCTAGGTTTTGTAGATATTGGTTGATCTTTAACTGGAAAAAATTCTCTACGCTTTAAGTTTGAATCTAATATGGATTCAAACTTTAGAAATTTTGAAAGCCATATAAGGGATAAAATTGAGTGTGGGACCTTACTACAAAGATGACCAATAGTAATGCTTGGGTAGCTAAGCGAGAGACTCCCCAAGCAAGATATGCATCAAAGAATAAGGATGAGGATGAACGTGCCCAACTACCTCCAGATGTACGACTTGATAGGGTACACCACCTAGAGGGGGAAACCAACACAATAGATCGCTACCTAAGTTGCATGAAAATGGGCACGGGTATTGGTACGAGTGCGGGTGCGGGATACGGCAAAACTATAAAATATAGGGTATGGGGATACAACTACATATATATTGAATTAATACTGTACATAAGATAATTTTTTCCCCTTCATGTGTCATTAGAATTAAAATTCCGATCACATTTTTGAGTTTTTTTTATCATATTGATTATCGTGAATTGTAAACTACTCATTTTTTTACTAGACATCTAAACGATTCATTAACTATATAGTTTTAAACTTAGGTATGGACTGAAACGAATCCGACCCGTATCTCATTAGTTTTAAAAGACGGATGTGAAGTGTAAGCTCTATATCCATGAAGTCTTTGACAAGTGTTTTAAATTAACACATATATCGTATAATTGAGTACATGTTATAATAAATGCATGCATATATTCAAGAAGTGTCTATGAAGTTTGGATACGGGAAAGTGTTGAGTACGTGTCCGGTACG